ATCAGCAGCAGCATCAGCAGCAGCAGAAGCAGCAGCATCAGCAGCAGTTCCCTCTCCCTCGGTGGTGGCGCAGTCTCTCTACGTCAAGCCCGAGACATCGAGGTCACATCTGCGCGGGGACGACAAGGACAAGGACTCGAACAGCCGCGCTCTGCTCACGGGGCTAGACGAGCAGTCGAGGGGGTCGCAACAGGGGGAGATGCCCAGCTGATCGATTTGTAGGTCAGGTCGTAGGTCAGGTCAGTCATAGGTCACGTCCGGTTATAGGTCACATCAGGTCATAAGTCAGGTCAGGTCATCGGTCGGACCAGGTCATCAAGACCTTAGTGCTTCCATGTGGTATTTCCTTTTTTTTTTTCATTAAAAATATGACTTCTTCTTAAGCTCACTCTTTGTTATGAACTGTCTTTACTGTTTACAAAAATGGAGATACAACAAGAAAGCACTGGGGTCGCGTCATGAGTCAGATAAAGTCACAAGTAAGATCAGGTTAAATCAGGTCATAAGTCAGATCAGGTCAAGTCAGGTCATAGGTCAGGCCAGATCGAGTCTCAGACTGCCGTCATCTTCCTCCTTGTCGTCGTCGTCATCGTCGTCGTGGTAGTTTTCTTTGTCGTCGTCGTTGTCGCTGTCGTTGTCGTTGGTGAGCAAAGAGGAAGCTGAGTTTTTCCTCACACAAACGTATCGCAGTTGTTGGCCTGATCACCAGCTTAGTTCACTGTTCGTGTGCATTAATAATATCGATATATCGAAACGTACTTTGGAGAAAACTGTGGTTTCAGTGAACTTTAGGGAGGTTGTGAGTCTCAAAGGTTTAAGCCTGGACGGAATGTGTTGGGTTTTTTTCTTTTCAAGCCTTTAACCTGAACAGAGTTGTTTTTCTTTTTTCTTTTTAAGGAATTAACCTGTAAAGAGTTGGGTTTTTATTTAAAGGATTTAACCTGAACAGAGTTGATTTTGTTTCTTTCAAGCCTTTAATCTGAATAGAGTTAATTTTTTTAGGCTTTAACCTGAAAAGAGGTTTTTTTCTTTTTATGGCTTTAACCTGAAAAGAGTTGGAGGGGTTTTCTTGTTGTTTTTTAAAGGTTCAAACTGAACTGAAGATTTTTTAAAAAGTTGACTTATGGCTTCTGCTGTGGACAATGATATTGATCAAGTCTCGCAGACACAAGTTTGCCACATTTTGAGCATAATTTGACAGCGTCGTTTCCACTCATGAGTGTGTTTGTGTGGACCGCTCACGGGCTCCTCTCTTGGCTTCAGAATTTCTAAATCATCTGTTGCCCACGATGTGTTGTGAGCAACGAGGACGTAGTTTGGATTGGCAGCTTCTTCATTGCTGGAACTGAGAACAGATATGCAAAGATTTTGAATGGTGGGGGGGGGGACTTAACTTTACCTTTACTTTAAAATGACACAGAAGTGCCTTAACTATTAGTATGGTATGTACGTGTTGACACATTTCCCAAACCAGTATCCCGCCTTACATTTACAATAATAAAGAGAGTGCCTTACGGATGAAAGAGTTATTACTTTATAAGATAAAAGATTTATTACGAAAGATTTGTTACATTATAAGATGAAAGATTTATTACATTATAAGATGAAAGATTTATTACATTATAAGGACACATCCCCTTCTTTGTTTCGACACGCCATTCTTGGAACTCACTGAGGTTCGAACATCCTGCTCGTTAATTGGAGGCAACACCAAGACGTTCTGTTTTTGGCCACGTAAAAATAGAGGTTGAAAATTGCGCAATACAAAATATACTATCTATCTATCTATCTATCTATCTATCTATCTATCTATCTATCTATCTATCTATCTATCTATCTATCTATCTATCTATCTATCTATCTATCTTTCTTTCTATCTATCTATTTATCTATTATTATTATTATTATTATTTTATTATCATTACTTTTTTATTACATGTAGTAGTAGTATTATTGATATTACTATTACTATTATTACTATTATTATTATTATTATTATTATTATTATTATTATTATTATTATTATTATTATTACTGTTATTATTACTGTTGTTATTATTGTTATTATCCTTATTATCATTATTATTATTGTTATTATTATTATTAATTTTTTTTTTTTATTCTTTATTAACATTATTAATATTCATACAGATTTTTCAAGTCTTTTTTATGTTTCTGAATCTTTCAACTGCAGAAGATACCATGACCCCCCCCCCCCCCCCCCAAAAAAAAAAAATTAAATTAAATAAATTTAAAAATTTAAAAAATTAATAAATAATAAATTTTTTAAAATGTACAAGTTTCCAAGGAGATTTGAGCTTAGGAAGTCACCAAACTTTGGTGGCCATTTTCTCGCTAAGTTGGCCTCTAGTATTTCAGATACAAGAGTATTCATTCGAGGGAAGATGGAGTTTTCGGTCAGGAGCTAGGTGGGTTATTGTTTTTGAGGACCTCGTATGTCATCTAGTCAAGTTCTACCCCGTATGACCCAAGACTTGTTACATGTAGTTATCGGTCTTTGGATCCAATGATGTGATTTCTTGTTACGATTTTTGTGTGTGATTGATCCAATTATGCTGCAATATTGCCTCTAGTCTTCTGTTGATCGGGCATATGTGTGTCCGTTATGTTCTGACAGATTTTATATCAACAGCAGTCTGCTCGACACTCTCAGAAGTGCAATATTTTTGAAGCAATAAAATGCCATTATGCTTCAAAATTGTGTCTTGTTGTGGAAATGAACTGTGTGCGGGGTGAGTGTCCGTGCCTGAGGCGTAAGGCTGAGGTTCAAATCCAGTTTGTCTGCTCAGTGATAGCACAAGTTAGATATACCGAGTGTGAAAGACATTTTGTCGACCGCTTTTACTCACTTGACTTTCACTTAGTTCTTGTCTTCAGCTGGTGAGGGTCACGGAAACAACATGTTAACAACCATCAAATAAAAGGAAATAAAATGAAATAAATAAAACATGAAATAAAATAAAATGAAATGAAATAAAATGAACCAGAAAAGATAAAATAGAATAAAATAAACTTAAACAAAGTAGAATAAAATAAGATAAAATCAAATGAATTAATAAAGTAGAATAAAACATAATGAAATAAAATTAAAATGAAAATAATGTAAAATGAAATGTAAAAAAATAAATAAAATAAAACTAAATGAAATAAAATGAAAAAAAGAAATAAAATTAAAGGGAAGAAAATGAAATTTAAAAAATAAAATAAAATAAAATAAAACGAAATAAGGTAAAATTAAAAGATATAAAATAACAAGAAATAAAATAAAACAGAATTAAACAGAATAAAATGTTTAAAAAATAAATGAAAGGGAATAAATAAAATTGAACAAAATAAAATGAAATTACAAAAAAGTAAATAAGTTCAATGAATTGAGATAAAAATACAACTTAAATAATGAAATTGAATTTTTAAAGTAGAATTTTTTTTAAATTATTTTATAAAGAAACAAAATGAAATGAAACAAAATAAAATTTAATAAAATAAAATAATATCAAGTAAAGTGGGATAAAATAACACACACAAAAATGAATTAAAATGAAATTTAAAACATGAAATGTAATCATTTAAAATAAAATAAAATAAAACAAAGAGAAATAAAATATAATGAAAGGAAATATAATAAATGAAACAGAATAAAAATAAAAATGAAAATTTAAAAAATGAAATAAAGTAAAATTGAATAAAGTGTACTAAAAATGAAAATAAGACTAAACATGATAAAATAAAACAAAAAGAAATATAACAAAATAAAATGAATTAGAATAAATAAATAAAATAAAATAAAAGGAAATAATAACATGAAATAGAACAAAATAAGATGAAGAAATCAAATAAAATAAATCAAGAGAAATGAAACGGAATCAAATAAAGTAAAATAAGATTTTTTAAAAGAGAAAATGAAGTTAAATGAAATAGAATGAAATATAAAACGAAATGAAATAAAAATGAAATTTTTTTTAAAAAATAAAGAAAGATAAAATAATATTTTCAGAAAGAAAAAAAATTGAATAAATAAAAACTAAATAAAATAAACGGAAATAAAAGGAAATAGAATAAAGAAAGTAGTAGAAAATCAAATGAAATCTTAAGAAATAAAATAAGATAAAATGAAATGAGATAAAAATGAAGTGAATAAATAAAACGAAATAAAATCAAATGAAATAAAATCATAATTTTGTTTTTAAAGATAAGATATAACAAGATAAAATAAATTGAAATAAAATTAAACGAATTTAAATAAGTGAAATGTTTTTCTAATGATTTAAAACAAAATAAAGTAAAACAATATCAGTTCAAATAAAATTAGAATAAATAAAACAAAATAAAATGAATAAATACAGAAAAATAAGATAAAATCAAATCAAATCAAACAACAAAATATTTAACAAGATAAAACCAAAGCAAAATCAAATCAAAAGAAATACAATTAAATGAAATAAAATGACATGAAATGAAATACAATGGAATAATTTTGTTAAAAATAAGATAAAACAAGATACAATAAAATGAAATAAAATGAAACAAATTGACATAAATTGAATTTTTTAAAATTGAAATAAAACGAAAGAAATAAAAAGAAAATGAAATTAAATGGAATAGATAAAATAGAGTAAACGTAAGTGAAATAAAATAAAATGATATAAAATAAAATATAATAACAAAAGATGAAACATGATAAAATAGAATAAAATAAAATACAGAGAAATTAAAAGAAATAAAATTAAATAAAACGAAATAAAATAAAAAGAAATAAATTAAACAAAATGAAATACAATAAAATAAGATCAAGAAAAATGAAATAAAATAAAATAAAATAAAATACTGTAAAATGAAAGAAAATAAAAAGAAAGAAAATAGAATTAAATAAAAATGAAGTAAAATACGACATAAATTTAAAAGAATAAATAAAATGAAGTAAAAAAAATTTAAGGGTGAAACAAGATAAAATAAAACAGAGTAACAGAAAAAGAAATAAAATAAAACATAAGGAAATGTCTTCCTTTTCTTCTTCTTCTAACCCATGGTTAGGGCAACCGTGGGGGCACCACTGCATCTGAAAACCAGCTCTCGCCATCTATTTTTGTCCTCTGCTTTCCCCAGATTGTCACCCATCGTCTTTCCTGTCCACTCTGTAATGTAATCCTCCTATCTCCTTCTTTGACTTCCTCTCTTTCTATTTCCTTGTAC